TCAGTTGAAGAACATTTCATGCAGCTCAAGGAACAGAGCAGTATATTTGGGATGTTGTATGATATTCCAAAACTCCTCACTATACCTGAAGAAGACCTACACCAGCAATGCAGGGCACTAGAGACAGTGTTGACACATGATGACATGTGCAATATTGATGCGAGTGATTTAGGTGATGAACTGAAAGCCTTTCAAGATACATTTCAGCAGGATCAACTCCAAAGGCTATTCTAGAATATATGTGCACAAATAAAATGACCACCCTCTTTCCAAATGCTTTTGTTGCTCTGCGCATACTTCTAACACTTCCTGTAACGCTTGCCAGTGGAGAACGCAGCTTCTCCAAGGTGAAGTTAATAAAAACACATCTACGCTCCACAATGACACAGGAGAGGCTGGTCGGCCTTGCAACCATCTCAGTAGAGCATGAGCTGGCCCAGACTGTGGACCTTCAGGAAGCAGTTCAAATCTTTGCAACCAAGAAGGCAGGGAAAGCACCATTTTGATTATTCAAACAGATAAAAATGCCAGTGTTTACTATGCAGACAAGAACAGTTACATTTGCTGTTCAGGTGTTTGAAAGTTAAGTGTTACTTAAAATTTTTGAACAAGGCATTTTAAGTTGTTAGTTCTCCTTTATTGGTGTAGGTACCAGAGTAGTACCATGAGAGGCGTAAAACAGGAAGAAGGCAGAATTGAGACCTTTCAAAGTTTTGGCCCAAGCGAGCGGGCATGGGGGCATCATTTGAGCTCCCCGCCTCAGGTGCCAAAATGTTGTGGGCCAGCCCTGGGGACAGGGATGGAGAGTAAAGGTGGTTTGAAGCTACCTTTGCACTCCCCATGTACAGAGGCCCACCTGGGATCTACTTGACCCTCAGCATAAGTTAGAGCAGACGCGGTGCGCTCAAACTTCTGTTCTGCTTTCACAGTCCCTGGGAAGAAGAGAACAGCCAAAATGTTCTGGTCACAGCTCCCAACACACCCTGTATGTGCCCCCAAACCATCCTTTATGCCAGGTGCTGTGAGCAAGGCTAGCATAAAGCCCTTTATGCCAGCTCCACGCTGGTCCAGAGAGACCCTCTGCACCCCTTTGTTCTGCCAAAGCACAGTAAAGGAATTGTGGTCTAACTGAGAATCAGGCCTATTGTGCACTGGTTTTCAGAGAGGATTTAGGCTTTGGTGGGTTTGTGACAGTCCCTTAGGAGTATTCTCACTTTTCTGCAAGATTCTCTGTGTCCAGCTGAGAATATAGGCCCCAACCCTGTGAGGTGTTAAGAATTCCTCCATGGTGCTGAGTTCTATCCTCTCCCATTGGCATCAAGAGGTTTTGAGGGCACTGAGCACATTGACAAAGGGCATTCAGCATTTCTGAGGACAAAGTCCTTATACTGTTTTAATGTTGCTTTTAATAGTTTGGAAAATAAGCAGTCCTTCGCTAATTTCAAAACAGATGCATTAATGAGGGTGTGAGTCCATTTAAATTCTCTTTTGCTGTTTTGGAAGAACAGTTTAATGTGTAAGAAGACTAGCATGCACCAGGGGGAATCTTGCATCATCTATTCTCTGTTTCTTTTACCCTTTTGTGCATTCCTGCAGCATAACATAACTAAAAACCATCCTTCTGGGAAAATGAGATTGTGTCATTTTCACTCAGTGGGAACTGTCAACGCCAGTAAGATGCTTCATTAAGTAAAAAACATAAGATGATCTAGTAACTCAGTCTGAATCAGTCATTGTCAGACAGCTGTTGGGAGCCTTTTTTAGTGTTATTATTATTCTTTCCTGACTTGAAGTTCATAGTAGTACAAAATAGTGTCATGCTGCAGTTGGCACCATTTATAAAAACACATGTTAGAAGAATATTTTTCCAAGATTTCTGTTCTTACCTGTAGCTTTCAGTGTGGTTTTGCCTGCTTATAGGTTGCATGTGCAACTTTAATTCAGGCATTCCCTAACTTTTGAGTGCTTGACTTTGCTACCCTACTATTCGTTCAATGTAGGGGTGGGTGTGGGTGTTGGATATGTGGATGGATGGATAGAAAGGAAGGTACATGTGACAAGAGGGAACAATAATGCCTGTTCCCCACCTGTACAATGGTGATAATAATTCTACCTTTTTCCCACTCTTTTTTTGTCTTGCCTATTTAAATTGTAATTTCGAATTTACTGTCTCAGAAATCAGTAAGCTACTAAAATTGTTTTCTGACAATTGATTTCTCACTTTTTTTAACATGCCAAAACATTGATTCTTCATTCTCTAAATTTGCTTTGGTTGACAAAATTGTAGCAGTATGAACAAGCTCCAAAATCATCTGAGCCTTTTACTTTGAGATAGGAAACCCAGTAAGATCTAAACTAAAGGTGATTAATAGTTTCCCAAGCAGCAACAATGTCATTCATGAATTATAGTACTGAGTTATTGCAATATTTTAAATGAAAAAATAACAGGAGGCTATCTTGCTCCTAAAACCACAGGCCAAATTCTGTTGTCAGTTACCTTGATGTAAATCTGGATTAGCATCAGATTCTGCTCTCAATTACAAAGGTATAAATCTTGAATAGTTCCAGTGGACAGTGTGAAACATTGATTCACTACAGCACTTGCAATTGTGAAAAGTTGAGTAGTCCATTGGGTGACTTAGGTCACCATTAATTTTGTTAGGTAGTAATTGGACTACATGAGCAGATGGCATATATTTATAGGGCCAGCTTTGTGGTGATCCAGCTATGTTACCCTGGAACATACTGGGGAATATATAAAAATGTATAAATACATTTTTTATTTAACCTCACTGATGCTTAATATTAACTTCAGTGGGTCTTCCCTTTTTCTTGTTAAGTTTTGTACTTGCTGATTCACACTCAATAACTATCCATATCCAAATACTTAGTGTATAGCGTGTGCCATGTAATGTTATGTATCCCTACTTTCTATGGTAATCATAGAGTATTTATAGGCACTTAATGGCAAATATTTAGCACAATGCCCAAAGTCTTAGAAATGCAGCTCCTCTTGTTGTTAATGGGATTTGAATGCCTTATTTCACAAACACACTATCCTGAAAATAATTAATGCAACCGTAGTATCCTCTAATGACCTTTGATATTTAGATATCATGCTGTCAATTGGTTTTGAGCCATTAAAGCTGCAATCCATTATGCTGTTAGATCTCATCAGCATAGCATTCTCATGGCTGTTGGGCTATTTTAAATTATTTTTTGTGTTAATACTCCTATTATTTTGATTGGAAATATATATAATCAATGCATCAACAAGTTCATTTAGCTTTAGCCACGGTAATAGCCAGTTGTTCTCATTAGAAACCGACCAACACTCCTGCAACATGTCAGCAGAGTTGTGGGAACTAATTGTGTAAATTTGTTACAAGGCAGTGATTTAACAAGTCAGCACAAAGCAGTTCTAGTTACAGTGGCTAAGAGTCTTATGTGAGTCAGACTTTATTAATATGTCAGTTGGATTGCACCTAGAGTTCTTTTCAGACATTGAATACACCATGGTGCCTGCCGTTCATTTCATGAATATGATACAAGTACTCTGAACTGATAACATCATATGGTGAGACAGCAAAAAGAAGCACAGTCTTCAGGTTTCTTGAAGAAGCTCATTGTTTGAGTAAAGGCTTGCAGGGCTTTTGGCAAAGTCAGAAGCAGAACATCATAGAGCCTTCATTGTTAAATTAGTTGTTGATCTGCTAAGCTATCAGTCTATAACATCATAGAATTTGTAATATAGGTTACCAATGGCACATTGATTATTCAATCGCTCTTTCTAAGAGACACATCTCTTCAAGATAATAATATTGCCAGTAAGTTTTATTCAGCATCAATAGTTGCCTTAAACAAAACAAAAAAAATCAACTCTTTTAAACTGGTGTTTGTATGGGGTTTTTAAATAGTAACATAGGGCCAGAATTGACCACCCTAAAACATGAGTACTGCCTTCCTGCAGAGTGAGGGTAGCAGAATATGGCTCATACATATTAAATATTCCCAAAGGAAAATATTCATATGTACAGAGAAAAAAATGCCTACATGTCATAGATATCACAAGTCTATAATTAGACATTCATTACATATACCAGTAAATATTTGATTTAATATATTGTTATAGTAATGTATGAATGAGTGCAAGCATACTGTTGTATAGAATTGTTATTTACATTGTATTACCACATAATAATATCACATTTCTATAGCAGACAGTAATGGGGATCAATTTCTATTGCAATGTACAGGTTTTAACTATATGAGACTAATTAAATTTAAAGAGAGTTGTATAGCTAAATTCTGCCGAACATTTATGCCACAGTATGTAGGAATACATTATATGTTTTCTTGAAATAGAAAATGTATTTGAATGAATAGAGCAAGCACATTGCTTCCCAGAGATTGAGAGAAGTAGATGTTGTTGCTAAATTTAGCAGCTGATTAAATCTGGTATTTGAGCACACTCAGAGATATTCATCTTGAGCACCCTCCTGACCAGTCAGTCACAGAATATCAATGTATTTGTAGAGATCACTGTTTGTCCTCCTTGTTACACCTTTTGTCCCCGATCCTGCAAACAGTAAGGACCAGATCTTCAGTTGATATAAATCAGCATTGCTCCATTTATGTCTCAACTGGTGTAAATCAGCAGAACTCTATTGACTTCAAGCTGAGAATCTGACCAACGGGAAGCTTAAAAGTGACCATCTTCATGTTGTCATTTCATAGAATCATAGAATCATAGAATATCAGGGTTGGAAGGGACCTCAGGAGGTCATCTAGTCCAACCCCCTGCTCAAAGCAGGACCAGTTCCCAACTAAATCATCCCAGCCAGGGCTTTGTCAAGCCGGGCCTTAAAAACCTCCAAGGAAGGAGACTCCACCACCTCCCTAGGTAATTGATGCATCCCACTCTGAATATACAGTTCACCTTCTAAAATCCTATCCACTGGGAAATAATATAATTACATTTCCTACTTGCATTCCTACAGGGCACCTGCTTGGGCTTTCCCATGATGACTCCAAATTCTGTGAGGAGAACTTTGGCTCCATGGAAGATAAGCGCTTAATGTCCTCCATCCTGACTAGCATTGATGCTTCCAAACCCTGGTCCAAATGCACTTCAGCAACCATAACTGAATTTTTGGATGATGGTCATGGTACGTATTATTATACCTGGTGTCAGATATAGGTTTCAGCTTTGCACACTCCTGTTATATATCACAGCAGTGTTTGCAGAAAGCTCATTCTTATGTTATCAGGAAAATTGTGGACCATATTCTGTCATCCTTACTGAGCACTACCAAGCAGCTACTTGCAAGCAGTAGGTAGTACACAGCATGCCTAGGAACTTGTTTGTATGAACAGTTAGCACATGGCAAGCTGGGGTGTAAATCGACTCCTGTTTCAAAATGGTGTAGCTCAAAGCACACTATGGAATGTTTAGTGTGTGATGTCCACATGGACAGTTAGTACACAGCAGGCTGGTACAAGACAGATTTACACCAGCTTGCACTGCATTTTAACTGTTCATATAGACAAGCCCTAAGGCTGGCAGAATCTAGCCCCTTGAGTAGCCTGCATAACATAGATAAGCATGGATAGAATGTAGGTGGATTATGATCAGTGGTGTTTTCACTGGGAACGTTGGTGAAGTTTAGCTAACAACCACAGTATTACTTTTTGTTTCCAAATGCTGAAGAAGAGAGTCCAGAGAGCATTTTACCCAAAAGATGCATGAACACCTTGGCTTATCAAGTAATTAAAATGGGCATTAAAGGTTATCAGATATTCGGCTAAAAAGTGAAGATGCTACACTTAGAAGTCTCATTCCTCCTACTTACTATTATTTATTATTTATGTCATGTTAGTGTCTAGAGGTGCCAGCCAGGAATTAGGACTCATTTGTGCTAGGCACTATTGACACACATAACAAAAAGACAATCTCTGCCCCAGGGATCTTACAGTCTACTATACAGTACTTTAGAGAACAAAACTAATATTCTATCTCTTGCCAAAACGAGATAGCTATTTAGAAATGGCTAGCATACTCAGAGGAGAAAGGCTCCTCAGCTAGCAAGCCAGAGTTTTTAGTCAGGGTCTTTGATTATTAACCTGATCCTGAATAAATACTATACACTGTAGTATGTTAACATTTTATTTAACTTTTACTTAATACAAAGCTTTTTTTAAAAAAGCATAATCAATAATCCTAAATGCATTTTAAATTGTTCATTGTGCTTGCAAAGCAACTGCAATTCTTAAACAAGCCAAGAAAATTCTAAAATACTGAGATAAAAAATACGTAATTGAGCGAATGGATCAAGTTGTTTTGGTAACTTCAGTACTTATGGATGAAAGGTACTGCATGCCTGCAGAATGTACGGGATTTTTTTTTAAAGCAAGTAAAGTAAATATTTTATTGGCTAATTTCAGGGCTGTCCAAAATGCTTTATCCTATTATTGTATCTGGAAAATTACTTCATTTTTTCTCTCCTAATTTTATGAGCTCCATTAATCTAGGGTTGTCCTGTTTTATGGTACATATCACTTTGGCATTAATTTAATTTAACAGGTTAGTTTCCATATGTGCAAGAGCAGATCTGTATCACATAGCTGTGTCAGGCCTGGAGCAGACCAAAGAATGAACTGTGATTCAGAACCACAGTTTATCCCCTTTCCCGCCACCTTTCTCTGGGGAGGGAGTAAGTTACTTCATCCCTTTTCTCCCCATACTGTGAACTCAGTCAGCTACTCTATGAGGGGCAACGAGTGTGAGTGCAAAGACAGGGCTCCTCCCATTCTCCTCACTGCCAATTTGCTTGCAATGGGAAGTGTATAGTGAATAGCCCCTGCTCCCTACCCCATGGCTGGAGTCACGATCTGAGCTGGAGAGTAACTGGAGTTGTGACAATCAAGCCCAAGGGACTCATGCCATTTACTCCAATGGGAGCAGGATTGGGCCCAAAATCATTCAGGACCATGTTCCAATCCCCTTACTCACAATAAGTAGTACCTTAGCACACAAGACATCCCCAAGATTTTGGTGCCACTTCTCCCACAGTAACGTACTACACAAAGTGAGGAAGGCTCTCAGAATCTGGCTTTCATTTAACATGATTGGGTCAGGTTGTGTTGCCCTTACTAACCCTGCTGAGCACTTAGTCACTAACACCAATAGTTCCATTGAAATCTCCAACATGGTGAAGTGCTCCACAATCTGACCTACAAGCCGCTTTCATGCCTGGCATTACTCCATTTATTTCAAAATCATAATGGAGTCCCTGTGGAAGCTCAGGCACTCTGATTGTTTGAGTGTCTGAACTTTCAGAGACATCTTTTCTAAACAAAGACATTTTTTGGAATAGAGTTTTGTTTCATTCTATTGTATCCCCTGTGCATGGGATCTTCCGTCTATTTTTAAATCAAGGATTTGTATTGACAAAAGATAAACGTAACCTATGAAATCAATCCCCTCTCCCAAAAAAACCCTATCCAACAGACTAAATTGTTAAATTTCCCTGAATAACAATGTTGCAGGGGTATTCGGTGTACAAGGAATGGGAATCTTTTAGTTTATTCTTTTTCAGGCTCACTGAAATCACAGATCAAAAGCTCCCACTTAGATTAATGCCCCAGCATGCGCTATACAAATGATGTAACTTCAGCCACTGAACCCTATTGGACCATGAAGCCAGTTTGAAGGCTGGGGCGTATTAAGAGTAAACAGGACCTAGATCAGTGGTGGGCAACCTGCGGCTCACGGGCCACATGCAGCCCATCAGGGTAATCCGCTGGCGGGCCGCGAGACAGTTTGTTTCCATTGACCGTCTGCAGGCATGGCCGCCCACAGCTCCCAGTGGCCGTGGTTCGCCATTCCCAGTCAATGGAAGCTGCGGGAAGCGGCAGTCAGCATGTCCCTGCAGCCCGCGCTGCTTCCCACAGCTCCCATTGGCCGGGAACGGCGAACCGTGGCCACTGGGAGCTGCAGGCGGCCGTGCCTGTGTACAGTCAATGTAAACAAACTGTCTCGCAGCCCGCCAAAGGATTACCCTGATGGGCCGCATGCGGCCCGCGGGCCACAGGTTGCCGACCACTGACCTAGATACATCAGATTTTCAGGGCTCCCCAAAATAATTTTGTGCCAGCCCTTCCCCACTGCACCCTTTCCCCTCTTGACCAACTCCTGGTGGCTGAAGTTTAGGATGGCTCCCTCTGAATTTTTCTTTTGAAGAAGTTATCTTTCTGCAATCCCCCATGTGGACAGGTGAAAAGACTGTGACTCCAAAATGCTATCAGGTAGAGAGAGGTACCTACCCATTCATTCAGACATAATGAGTGCGGAGCTGCAGTTGCCACACTATAGAGGAGGAGATACCTTGCAGAACACACTGTAGCATCTCTGAGAGAGAGTATATCTCCATATACTTTGGGGTTGTTTGTCTCTGGCTTTTACAGTGTCATGTGCAGTCTAACATAGGAGAGATTGTACAAGAAGAAGATACTTTCTTTCTTTGGAACATAGTAAACTAGCACTGTATTTTGCTTTGGACAGACAGGAGCTTGTGAACCATGAACTGTGACAACTAGAGCATCTGAGCATTGACGTAAGAAAATAAATAAATAAAGCATTCCATCTGCTGCATGTTACAGCTAAACTTACAGAAACCGAAATGAAATCCAAATTGCTGGACTTATTGGTAGGCTGCCTTCGTAAAAGAAGGGTGACTTCCTTACTAAGACTTTAGTTAACCTTCCCATATAGTTTTTTTCCCCCATCGATCTAAGGTGCTTTTATGGCCCTGTTACCACAGTATTTGAGCATCTCACAATCTTTAATATGTTTATCCTCACAACACCACCCGTGAAGTAGGCAAGTATAATTATTCCCATGTTACTGACAAAGAATCAGAGAAACTAAGCGACTTGTCGAAGGTTACAGAAGAAATCTGTGGTGGAGCAGTGAGTTGAACCGAGGTCTTCTGACACCTAGCTACTACCCTAACCACCGGATCCTCCTTCTTCTCCTTTTGCAGCCATGATTTAATTGCTGACTTTGTTACTGATTTGACTTAAGGCACCAATATAATATTGTGGAAGAAAAGGCCTAGTTACTCTTCAGAAGACAGGAGAAAATTCCTTCCATTTGCTTTTACCTTCTCTCTACCATATTGTACAGATTATCTGTATTTTTGGTCATTATTTATTGCATGCAGGCAATGTGTTCAGTACCATACGTAGCCTAGACAAAGAGAGTCTCTGTCCCAAGAAGGTTCCATCTCTGCTCATCTGCCTCATGCAGAGTTTTATTGTGCAATTCTCTCTTGTGCAACATGTGTGTAAGACTGCTAGAAGAGATAGTGAGATGGCTTGGACTGCATTGCCATCAAATGTCAATAACGTGTACCATAATTCTAGATCTTTGTTTAATCAGATCTGGACTATGCAGTCAGTCACAGTGCGGTTGTGTTCACAGATCTTGGCTGAGATAGAGGCTTGGAAACTGGCTGAAGCTCACCCTGCCTACGTTTATAGTCCCTAGATATATTTGTCCAGGGGCTGGAGACAGGGCATTTTCAGTAAAGAGAACTCATCTCTGGAATTCACTCCCCACCCAGTTAGGAAAACTGAGTTTGTTGATTTTCTGGGCATGAGGGCCCATATGTAGAATGTCTATACTTGAATGAACAATTGGGTTTTAATATGTATTAACTAAGAGAACAGAAAATTCTAGTGTATAGAAGGACACAATCATTTTAGCTGGTCATGGTTAATCCAAGGGTCAACTAAAATGACTGTGTCCTGTCTGTATTAGAATTTTCAATCATGTCAGTTAACACATGTTAAAATCCAGTGGTTAGTTCAAGTGTAGACAAGCCACTGGGGGCTGAGGAATGTTTGAGTATTAATACTATGGCAGTTTTGTATTATTTTTGTCATACGTTTCAAACTGCGGAATAGTTGGTGCTGTTAGAGTTTGATAAGCACTATGTATATCTGATAGTAATGAATACAGCTAAGTCTAACAAGCTGGCCCCCTCTCTTGTCAGCATCCGAAAGTGGTGCTAACTTCCTCCATCAGCAGGAATGGTGTGACGGGGCAGACATTTGCTGTTTTTTTATTTTTACTGAACACAGTTTTTGACATAAACTGCTGCTAGTTTTTGTTTTCCTTTTAGAAACCCCAGCCCTTTGTCTTGTAGAAAACATCTGTGTGTCCTCACCCTCCACTATGCCTTTAATATTTTATGTTACAAGACACATTTCACAGTAGGGTCCTTTTAATGACTTTTATCTTGGGACACCAGCCTAGCTGTTAGAAGAAGCACACCTTGTTTTCATTTTTAAAAAGGCAGTGTAGTCCAGACTAAAGATAAGATCAACATGTTGGGTAAGTCAAGGCCACTAGGGGACAAATGGAGCAAAAACTTAATGAGATGGGTCTTCTCAGTAATAAATAAGTGATGATGCTGAAAGGATTTTTGGCTGAATTTAGCTGTTGAGAGCCCTTAGTGGTCTTTAGGGAAAGCAAACAATTGCAGTAAATGTGTTTTCTTGAGGGAAATGAAACCTGTTGTTCATTTTTTTTAAAGCCTCTAAACTAGGTCTTGAAACATGATGCCAGACCTTGACTTCTCATATTTTGTAAGCTACGGTAATTGTGAAGTATTTATATTACACATTTTTTACCCATGAGTGGGCAGGGGTGGTGCTGGTGTTGGTTGCAAAGCAAGATGGGTTGTGGTAAGTTATTCTGGCTGAGGATAAGTGAAGTATGCCCATACCACATGATATGACAGAGTTTAGAGTGAAGACCAAGTTTCCCACGTCAGCATGTGAGTTTGTCAGTGGTGTGAAAAAAATTTTTAGAACAGGATTCTTGAAGAATGTGAATGTGCTTTGCATTTTTAAAGAGAGAGGGAGCCAGGCAGATTTTTGACATTTGCAAATAACAGCGTTCTATCTTATATTTTAATTTATTTTCTATTTAAAGATTAATAGAACTGTTCAAACTGGGTCCAGAAGTGGCTAACTGTGATGCTTTACATGAGGAGCCCAATGCAAATTTACCACCAACATAACCTTTGATATGCTGCTTATATTTTTCTTTGAACTGATGTTTTTTTCTTAAAGGGCCCCACTGGCTACAAATCTATTTTTTCATGCGTTTTCTGGCTTTCTTTTAAAAGGTTTGCCTTTTCAAATGTTCTAGCTCAAAATTCAAATGACAGCTTTGCTTATTTTATGTGTCTCTTGATCATGCCTCAAATCACAAATTGATAAATAGAGTGGAACCCACTTTGAGTGAACTCAGATACAGTGAAACACAATGCAAGTCCCAAATTACCTCAATGCAGTTCAGTGTTCTAATGTTTATAGTTTTGGGGTGCAGGGAGGAAGGGCTCACCACAAGATGAAATAAACAGCTAGACAAACAAGAGTTTGATACCTGTTCCCTGAAGAAGTGAGGTTTTTTACCCACGAAAGCTTATGCCCAAATAAATCTGTTCGTCTTTAAGGTGCCACCGGACTTCTTGTTGTTTTTGTGGATACAGACTAACACGGCTACCCCCTAATACTTGGTTCCCTGGAGTGCTGTAGATAGAGAACCCAGTTGCAATAACAGTGCCTGATCCAAAGCCCGCTGAAGTCAATGGGAGTCTTTCTGTTGGCTTCATTGAGGTTTGGATCAGGTCCATAATCATTATCACTCTGTCTGGCTTGAAAGCTAGAGGTCCTATAGTACAGATAACAAGGAAGTGAGTAATAAACTGGATTGTTCTTTCAGGGAACTGTTTACTCGACCAACCACGAAAGCAGATCTTGGGCCCTGAGGAGCTTCCAGGACAAACGTACGATGCCATTCGTCAGTGCAAACTGGCATTTGGACCCGAGTACACAGTGTGTCCTGGCATGGACGTATGCTCTCGTCTGTGGTGTGCAGTTGTTCGCCAAGGTCAGATGGTGTGTCTGACCAAGAAGCTACCTGCTGTGGAGGGGACACCATGTGGGAAAGGAAGGATCTGCCTCCAAGGAAAATGTGTTGACAAAACGAAGAAGAAATATTATTCGGTATGTTACTGCTCCAAGGGCCAAAGCCTGGGGAAATCTTAGAAGGCTTGATCCTGCAATGTGCTGATTGTAATGGGTGTTAAAGGGATGGAGCATTGGCAGGGTTACACCCATGGTCTATAGCAGGGATCGGCAACCTTCAGCCCGCGGCCCGCCAGGGTAAGCACCCTGGCGGGCTGGGCCGGTTTGTTTACCTGCCGCATCCACACGTTCGGCTGATCGCGGCTCCCACTGGCTGCGGTTCGCCGCTCCAGGCCAATGAGGGCTGTGGGAAGCGGCACGGGCCGAGGGATGTGCTGGCCACGGCTTCTCGCAGCCCCCATTGGCCTGGAGCGGTGAACCACGGCCAGTGGGAGCCGCGATTGGCCGAATCTAAGTGCATTCTCTCTTTATATAACTGTATTTTCTCAAATGACGTATTCCCATCCTCCTAGTACAAAATGCATACATTTCAGAAGTATAATTACAGTGCAAGTGGTGCATTGTGCACAGAGTTTTTTCTCTTAAGTGAGCCAAGTTAGTAGAGTGGCAGGCTTAGCTGCAAACAGTATCTGACTGCTCTCTCTTATGCCAATGCCTCTCAGCACTTTAGCTCGCTGGTTGAGAAGTTGCTTTAACTGCACTCCTTTTTCACGGTCTGTTTTACCAGCTCATACCTTTGCCTCATGAACTTAGAACAGCTATGAAATTCAATCTGTATTTCTGTTTATGTGCTGAATAAATTAAAGACAGTCACTTAATAGGGGAAGATTATAGCAATATAATTCAGGAAGATCATTTAATTAGCAATGTGGTAGGCATTCTGTGATATGGCTGGCATGCATGTGAAGTGTCACTTTGAAAACAAAAGTGATTTTGGTAAAGGTACCATGAACACTATTCACATTTCTTGAGAAATCTAAAATACAAATCGGAGTCACATAATCTTGCTTAGGTTGGTCAGGTCATAGCTATTTATATAACTGATAATTAGCAAAAGGACTCCATGATGAAGAACAATATCTCCTTACCACAAGCAGTGCCATACAACTGTACTACTTAATTATTCAGGGATCACAATGATCAATAATAGCAGCATATTACCTAGGCAGAGGAGAGCTAAGTGAAGAGGGCCTGGAAGAACAATCATTACAAAGAAAGAATGGAAATGTGATTAGGAGTCCTTTAAGTTGAAGTGTGTCCTCACAGTGAAATGGGTAGAATTTGGTTCTGTAGAGTTAGGCCATATACTGCCCTTGACCCACATCCAGAACTCTGCCGGACATCATGCCACCTACATGAAGATCAAGGGCAGTAAATGGATATGACTGCAAGTGAAAAGTTTCTTAGAGTTACTCCACATCCTAATATGAGGAGAGCCCCAGTTTAAACAAGAGGAAAAACATCTGCCATTTTGGGGACAAGTATCTGTGCTTTTGAGATATAGTATCTTCATTCAGGTTTGGATCATCTTTTCACATCCCACTGTTTCATGTGTTCTAGGCTTCAAACCACGGTAACTGGGGTTCCTGGGGCCCGTGGGGACAGTGCTCCCGTACATGTGGTGGAGGAGTTCAGTTTGCCTATCGTCACTGCAACAACCCAGCTCCTAGAAACAACGGGCGATACTGCACTGGAAAGAGGGCCATCTATCGCTCCTGCAACGTCGCATCCTGCCCAGCAAATGGTATGTTCTGCAGCAGCCAAAGCTGCTTGACTTTACAGCCTTTGTTCCTGTTATATGGTAAATACTAACCTACATAGGAGAAAAAAAAGAAGATGGTGTCCATTATAGCTTCCCTCAAATGTACCACAATGTGGAAACATTAGCAACAAGTGATAACAAAGTCTCTTTAACACAGTTTAAAGCATAATTAACCCTGCAAAGAGATGGTGGCTACTGACAGGAGGATTCCATAAACAGCAGCCCTGTTCTGGAGAAATGAACCAGATGAGCAGAGTTTTGTCATTAAGATGCTTATAATGCCATGGGAGCATTGCCAAAATAAAAGATTCAGAGGATTTTCAAAGGCCATTAACAAGTGTTGGGGCAAGGAGGAGGAATGGTGTGAATTAAATATGGTATCACAAGACCAAAGAAGGTAGCTGTGCATACTGACATTTGCAGTATATCCTATGATAAACACTAATGAGATGAATGATAATTCTCCAGCTAAAGCCTTTCGACAAGAACAATGTGAAGCAAGAAATGGCTATCAGTCTGATGCAAAGGGTGTCAAAACGTTTGTTGAATGGGTCCCTAAGTATGCTGGAGTGCTTCCTGGAGATGTGTGCAAGCTCACCTGCCGAGCCAAAGGGACGGGTTACTACGTCGTGTTTTCTCCAAAGGTAATGTATCTTCAGTGACAATTTCAGTGCCAGGCTCTGAAGGGTATTTTGGAAAGCTCTGTAGCTAGGCTGTATCAAGGAGAAGAATACCTTTTGTTTAATCATATGTTCCAGAAGAGCATTGGCCAGAATTGACCCCTAAAATTAGACAGTTTTCCACATCTAAACATGTGCATGCACATGAAATTGTGTTTGCTAATTCAGTCAGTACTACTTTCACATCAATAGTAGGTAAAAAGGTTTCTCTATTTATAGATGGCAGTGCACATTGGGGTCGTTCTAGTTGAAAGGAATTGCTTTGTCTGTCTGCAAACTGCTAAATTTTGTTCCAAGCTGCATTGATATGAATCCAGAGTAGCTCACTTAAAGCCAATGGTCTGTTATGTGAACTATGATCAGAGTTTATGATTTCTGACATGGTAGAATCAAGAGTGAAGTGATTCCTATGTATCCCTTAGTTATGTGCCTTTCTTCCTCTAGATGTTCTGAGGCTGAATTAATTCAAGTTTTATAAAGTACTTTGAGATGGTCAGATGAAAGTCTGTCTATAAGTGCAGTCTCTATGCAAAAGAATAAATGGACACAAATCTGACATCAGGAATCATAACATTCAAAAACCAGTAGGAGAACACTTCAACCTCTCTGGTCACTCAGAACCAGACTTAAAGGTGGCAATTTTGCAACAGAAAAGCTTCAAAAACAGACTCCAATGAGAAACTGCTGAACTTGAATTAATATGCAAACTAGATACCATCAACTTAGGTTTAAATAGAGACTGGGAATGGCTGAGCCATTACACACATTGAATCTATTTCCCCATGTTAAGTATCCTCACACCTTTTTGCCAACTGTTTGAAATTGGCCATCTTGATTATCACTACAAAAGTTTTTTTTTCTCCTGCTGATAATAACTCATCTTAATTAATTAGCCTCTTAGAGTTGGTATGGCAACTTCCACCTTTTCATGTTCTCTGTATGTATATATATCTTCTTACTATATGTTCCATTCTATGCATCTGATGAAGTGGGCTGTAGCCCACGAAAGCTTATGCTCAGATAAATTTGTTAGTCTCTAAGGTGCCACAAGTACTCCGGTTCTTTTTATAAGTGCAAAGTATCACTGTTCATAAAATCATCCTTAAATCAGAACTTCTGATTTAGTGCCTTAGGGTAAACAGAAGAGCCATATGGCAGATGCCTGTGGCCCCTTTGTTAATGTTTCTGCTGAGGGTTAGATTGCATCAGTCCTGGCTGGCAGAATAAGAACTGTATTCTGTTAATCATCACACCAAATGCCAAGCAAGCAGAAAAGTGTGAACTAGAATTCACACATGCAGAGGGCACTGTTAAAAAACACACTGAGTAGTTGCTCCTTTATAGTACAGCTTTAGATAATTCACAGTAGGTATACTGTGGCTGAACTAAATACATAGCAATGCTTGCCAATCAAAAAGCAAATCTTTTTTCTTTTACAGTTTTAACTAACAAAGACTTAATTCCATAGGTGACTGACGGAACTGAATGTAGGCCATACAGTAATTCAGTATGTGTCCGGGGAAAATGCATTCGAACTGGTTGTGATGGCATCATCGGTTCAAAGCTCCAATATGACAAGTGTGGGGTGTGTGGAGGAGACAATTCCAGCTGCACGAAAGTCATGGGAACCTTTAATAAAAAGAGGTAATAATTTTGTATGGAAATAATTGTACCCTTTTGTGCAAGCAGAATTATTATCAGGCTTTAATAACTATAGATGCAAATGAAGCTTACTGAATAGATGTGTCTAAGTTAGAAGTAAAAGTACTGCTCATAAGTAAGGCTGCGAGTTTGTCATGGAGGTCACGGAGGTCACAGATTCTGTGACTTTCCATGACCTCCGTGATTTCAGCAGCGGCCGGTGTGTCTGGTTTAGGGGTCGCTCAGGCAGCCCCTGCACCAGGTGCACTGGCTGCTGCTGGGGCAGTCTCAGGCAGCAGCAGAGTTTGGGTGTGGGAGGGGGCAGGGGGTTGGGGCTCAGGACAGGGTGAGGCGGGCTCTGGGCGGTGCTTACCTGGGGGGCTCCCCGGAAGAAGCGACATCCCACTCGCTCAGCTGCTAGGCGGAGGCGTGGCCAGGCAGCTCAGTGGGCTGCCTCCGCCCAGAGCGGTGGCTTCGCAGCTGCCATTGGCCAGGAGCCCCAGCACCCACAAGGCCCCCGGTCAGCCCTCTCCCCCCCAAGTTTTATTCACTGGTATTTTTAGTAAAAGTCATGGACTGGTCATGGGCCGTGAATTTTTATTTACTGCCCGTGACCTGTCTGTGACTTTTACTAAAAATACCTGTGACTAGAACATAGCCTTACTCATAAGACCTTGTAAAGGCACAAGTCTGACTGGGTGCCAGATTTCTATTCATGAATTTTATTCATATAAGACATCCCAGACAGGTGCATTTCCTAAGTTTTATTGCACTTCTCAGATGTTTAAAACAAGCTTCCTAACACTATCCAGGCTATGTAATAATCAGAGAAAAACATTGCACCCAATTCACTTCTGAGGTTCTGATAGAGAACCTAGGCTGCAGCCCCAGCAATGGAAAATTTGCCCGGAATAGGGGCATAGTTTTACAAGCTACCTGTAACCATCGATGTACCAGAGGGCCTGGAGCCAGGTTAATATCCCCTAGAATGTGGGGAACCAATCAGAAAGGGTTGGGGCTGGAACAGTCAAGTGATGCACTAATATGGTTCATTTCCCAGGTGACCTGTGCTTGTGAGGGTCCTATGGAGTCACAAATTGAATTTAAAACTGTTCAACTCTGTTGGAGGGCTGGCACTATTACTTACCCCTTGCTAGGTTAGGTGCAGTTTGGAGGCATGGTTGCAAATTACATCCCTCTATAATCATGTGCTCAAATCAAGCATATTGCCTTTAATATCTCATTGTCTGTATATCACTCTCTACCTATGGACACCAAATCAGTCAACCTTTGGTGCCCTTATTTCCCAGGCAGCTGAACAGTTGTGATTAATGCTAGCCACCAAGGATGGATTTTTTATTCAATTAAAAATATTTACAGCAAGTTGATCAAAATTTTACCACCATCACTACAAATACAATCGTTAATTTAAAAGAAAACCCTCCGTTTAAAAAAAAAATCTCTTTGTCACAGAAAAGACAGAATTATTACTGATCTTAATGGTATTATTAGTTTCTGTCCAACCAGTATATCCTTCACAGTAAAACAGTGGCTGTTGTTTTTCTGTTTATAAGGGGAACAGTAACATCCCTTATATTAAATTTATCTAATAATTCCCATTATAAAAATTTCTCATAATAATATACAATTTGTTTATGCCTTTTTTCTTAATTTTTAATGTAATTTTCTAGGGGTTTTTTTAATGTTAAAGAACTTTAAGGTTGCAAAATCAAGTACTCAGAAGTTAGAAAATGCCAGAATTAAGACTATCTGTGCAATCTTGTGTCTTTGCATTATGATACAGTCTTTAATTATATGATCACATACTGTTTTTTCCGTGAGCAACCTTAATTCTGACATTTCCTAACTTTTGGGCTCTTGACTTTGTAACCTTAATAACATTCTTTTAACACAGATTTTTGGATATGTATTTTATGTAAATATTTCCTGCAGTGGTGGATGGTGCAATTCTGTACTGCATTACTCCTGGCAGTGTAACTCGATTTTAATCATTAGTTATTCCAGCAAAACAAAGGAATAATACAAGTACTTAATCTAGAGTAGCACAGTTACATAGTCTTTACATAAATACTCAAAACTTCATAAACATAGCAGCCTGTCAGCTAACTGGCTCCCAGGGAGACATCTTCATTTTTTATATTTTTATCACATTTTCTCATGGCCCCTTCCTTTTACTTTAAAAAGATATTACACTGCCCTTTTCAAACACAAATGTGATACTTCCAGCATCAGCTTATTTGTCAGAGATTTATAAATGAAAATAAATGTATCGACAGTCCAGCTAGTAGTTTACAATGATGTATTTATTATTTCTCTAGATGTATTGTATCCCTCTTGAGATATTAAATATTCTAGAGAGCCTACAATTCTGAATGCTTGTGACCTTGAGTATAAGAATTAGACATCTCTTTCTAAATCTGAATTGAAATAAGATACCTTGCAAGTAGTGGTTGACAAATGAAGTAAAGGTGCTGTAATTATCTGAGTTAAGCATTTGGCCAGGCCTTTCATTAGACATTTTGCAATTAACCTTTAGCTTTATGAAGTTTCAAAGGAAACACAGTTTTTTTCTCAGTGATCAAGATTATTTTTAAATGTTCCCAAGGTACCTTACCCAGCTGTTAGCTTGCTCACTCTTTCCTTAATCACCATTATAGCAAAGGGAGTATGAAACAGCTGTAACCAATGCATACAGAGGTGGCAGAAACTCAGTTTGAAGGGGTTAGAGCTGAGGTGCTCTGCATGGGGAGTGGGGGAGCAAGCAGCGATGGAAGTTTGGGGTGTCAGGGATAGGAAGGTGACTGGGATGGATGCTCTGCATGGGGAGTGAGGACTGCTACAGAGACTCAGCTGTAGGGGGTGGCTACCTGCTTCCGATGCATATCTTTTTAGCTTTCCTTGGCAGACCTAATGTGCTTCAGATTTCATATCTCCCCTCTTATGCTCAAATACATAAGCTTCAGGTATATAAACTGTTAGTTATTGTTCATACTTCTTGAATCCAACTCATATAAAATTAGTACTGAAACCAAAGATTAAGTCATTTGAAGTAAGTGCAGTGAATTTTTTTCAAGGACATAAAAATGAATTAAAAAAATATAATGAACAACATGTTAAAAATTAATTGGATAGCATCAATCTGAGATGGGCCTCAAGCTGAATGCTTTCAAGGCCTGATCCAAAGCCCATTGAAGTCAACAGGTGACTTTCTATTGACTTCAATGAGCTTTGAATTAGGCCCTCAAAGCATGTCCATTTATTTCTCACTAGCTACTTAACATGCTCCTTTCCTCCTTGCAGCAAGGGCTACACGGATATAGTGAAAATACCCACAGGGGCAACTCACATCAAAGTGCGGCAGTTCAAGTCTAAAGACCAGAACAGATTCACAGCTTACCTGGCCCTGAAGAGGAAAAATGGTGAGTATCTTGTCAATGGAAAATACATGATCTCCACTTCGGAAACAATCATTGACCTCAATGGAACTGTCATGAACTATAGTGGCTGGAGTCACAAGGATGATTTCTTGCATGCAATGGGACATTCTGCCACAAAGGAGATTCTTATAGTGCAGATTCTTGCCACTGACCCAACTAAAGCAGTGGATGTCCGTTACAGTTTCTTTGTGCCAAAGAAGCAAACGCAGATGACTAACTATGTCACGAGCAATAGCAACAGTAATAAAGTAACACCACAGCTCATGCAGCCACAATGGGTGCCTGGACCCTGGCTTTCTTGTTCTCGAACATGCGACACAGGATGGCATACCAGGACTGTCCAGTGCCAAGATGGGCATGGAAAACTAGCTAAAGGATGTCTTCTCTCTCAGAGACCATCGGCATTTAAACAGTGCTTACTAAAAAAATGTTAACCTGTGGTTATGATCTTCTTAAAAAGAGGTCTAAGTAAGCCATTGTTGACATACTAGTATTAGGTCTACCTAGACAGACGAAGCCAAGGCTTCAATATACTTACATACAGTCTCAAATTATGGGCAGAATCTGCCTATTTGGACCAAATGAAGATGTGCACTGCTCTAAGTGACAGTGGAGTGATCTTAGTATGTCGCAAAAACTAAACATTAGAATTGTTATAAGCCCTCTGTGTCTGCAAAAAAGGAAGAGGAAAAACCAGTGAATGGACAATCATGGGATATTTGAAGGTTACAGAATCATCTCCCCCTTTTCACCTACCTCTAATACAGTATGTCCTTAGACAACTTTGTCATACTTACCCATGATACCACAGTAGCTTATTTTATACAGTTTATAAATATCTTCCCTTTGGTATGTCACTTTATATCACTTGGTTCTACTAATTAAAAAAAAACAATCTTTCTATAAGCAAAGTGATTGACCAAAGTATGTCTGCAGCCATTGTGACCTCTTCCATTTTTCAGAAATGGCTGTGGATGTTTTACTGGAAAACGAAGCGCTTGCTGTTGTTTTTAAGAGTTGTTACAATTTTCTGACAACAGGAAATGCATTTCCATTCTAGGAATTTCCTGACAGCAAAACTTAATTGTATAATAAACAATGCTCTTCCTCCAAGAAATTCTCACAGAGGAGCATCTCAGCAGCCATGCAGATGAACAGTAGCTGCTAGTCTTTAAATAAAATAAAGGCATATATTATTTTGTAGAAGCAAGTTATAGAACCAAAAATTACAGTTCAGATAACTCAGATATTTTGAGACTGTTCTCAGCTGCTTTCTCTGTTGTTTTCTCTATGGCTTCCATGTGAAATCTAACAATGTGTAATGTACCTACATCTACTGAAGAGACTATAAAAGGTCAAAAAACACAGCAAGCAGTTAATAGTATTTGATCAGTGTTTTGTCCACCATATCTAACTCTGGTATCCATTTTACCAGTAGAAGTTTGTAAAAAAAAAAATCAGTTTGTTTCATTGTGTTTTAAAAAGCTGTAGAAGTCATTCACATTTTGTACACCTTGCATATTTTGGAGGATTAAGGGTCACAGGGAAGTTAAACCACATCAGGATGTGGTGGATATAACCAATCTCAGTAAGACTGTTTCCACAGAGTAGGTAGAAGCTCTTAATGTTTTTCAGCAACTCTTTCCAGATCACGTTGTTATCTGACAGAAGATCTGCCACTGCAAAGGCCATTTCATTGTAGGCAAGTAACAGATAGTGGGCTGATCCAAGGCCCATTGAAGTCCTTTCTTTTGATCCAAAGCCCCCAAAAGAATAAGCGTTGCCTAAAGTCTACATAAACCTGCTGATGCACCTAATAGAACCTAGATTAGACCAAAATAGATTCTGACCCAGACCTTATCCACCAGTTTGTCCACATGGTGTGAGTGTATGTAATTAGGTGTCTGTTTTTAAGTCAGGATTTTCAAAAGAGCCTAAGGAACTGAGGGAATCTGACTCCCTTAGACTCTTCTGAAAATCTCAGTCTTTGATATCACCAGTAAGTCAGTAAAGGAAACTGGTTTGTTTGCAAAGCCCAAAAGGGAAATTTCCCTTCAGGCTGGCACAAGCATGTATTTGGGACTCTGAACTCTAGAAAGCAGATAGTCATTTTCAAATAGCAGAGAATTACTACAGCTGTACATTTGGAACTTGGAGAAATGTCTATTTTTGTACAATATATTAGTTATACTAATAGAAACAGGACATGTTAATTTGTGATAATTGAATGTGTGGGTATGTTACTAGATATGAGACCAACTGCTGTTGTAAAGAGTAGTGTGGCCTTATTGCTAGAAATGGTCCTGGACAAAAAATATTGATTTTTTTAGAATTCCTACACTGAATTGAATGAAATGAATCTAAACAGACACTGACCATCCCCAAACTTTTGGACAGTTCAGATCCAAACTTTCCATCTCTGTTCATTACAAAGAAAGATTTATGCCCACAGTGTCAGTGTCACTTCTAAAATTACATTACTTATGAAGACAGAATGTGCAAGCAGTTGTGTTTGAATCATATTTCTCATATATTAAACAGTGATGAGTAAACTTTTTTTGGATGTTATACAAATTCCAGAAAATGAAACCACAAAGGATTCTAAATTTAAAGCATTGTTAGATCAAATGTATACTTTTCCTAGAGTTTTGTGTAACAAGTAGGTATCAGAACAAACCAAATAGTGAATATTTCCCTCTCACGGTCACCCATCCTTTAACTAAAATTAGTTTTTCTAACTCATGTAGCACCTTAGCAGGATAGCCAAATACATAAAATTGGGCAACTGAGTGTGGAGTAGGGGAAACTGGATTGTCAGATCTTCAGACTGATGTTCAAGAGTTGATTCCCTTCAAGTTGTAGAGAAAATGTGAGGGGGAGTAGACAACAATCTCACAATGGGACTGATTCAAAGCTCGCTGCCTTCAATGGGCTTTGGTTCAAACTCTGATTAGGGGCGTGAGATTTGTCTTTGTGCATGTGCGTGGAATGTTCCCTGTCTCTCCCCACAGCTGCATCATGAGCAAGTGTCCCAAAGACACTTGAAATCAGTGAAGTTACACCAGAGATGAATTTGGCCCTTGCTGAGAGGCAACCTTTCACAGTAAAAGGCATGTGCTAGAGGAAACTTGTGAAGTGAACATGGACTGCTCAGGTGCAGGAGAGGGAGGACTCAAAGGAAGAGGAGCAACTTCCTTAGAAGTCTCCAGGCCAAATCTTGTGGTGGTATAACTAATAGTTTAAGTTAGGCATCAGGAGTAAGTTGGCCAGAACGCAGGTGAAAGTAGTAAGATAGTATAAATTCCATCGATTTAGCATTCAGTGAATATGCAAAACAAGTGTAATTTACACACTGAGGGGGCCAAGAGTGGCATAGCAAGAAAAGCAGCTAACAGGATGGTGAAAAGTAAGGTAAGTTTGCCTGCTTTATTTTACACCCTCCTTTTAGCTGCTTTCTTCACATCAGTTACATTTGTTTTGTGCATCTGCTGAATGCAATTTTGGTGCAAGTTACATGACTTTATCATTTTGACTCATGTTTTGTCCAACTTAATCCCTAAGTATTCAATTCATATTTTACATCACAGTTTATATCACTGCTGAGTTTTGCACAAAGTGCTTCAGAAAATGCTTCTAGCTAATGGAAACCCAATTCAAAAACTCCAAATAATGTTCTCTATATAGAAATGAAACATAGAAGGAATCTCCTTTAGTGTCTCCAGTGCTAAATTAACAGCTGATGTATTGGGATTCAGTTCCATTGTCTTCCACTCATATCACTATTACTTGGTATGTCTTACACTAAATAAGACATCACATTCTTAGAATAATTATTTTCATTATGACAAAGGTTATCACGTTTGATCTGAGCTGATCAAGAAATTCAACTTAGTCACCTTCCTGTGGAAACAGTTTTATCCCATGGGGAGTGGGGGGGGGGGAAGAAAGGGGGGGAGTTAGGGGGTTAATCACAAATGTAAAAAAAGCAACACAGCACTGAAAATAAATAATTTATTATTTTTACAACTGGTATGTGAATGGATGTAATGAATTTATTTATTCTTATTTAACAAAATTACCAATTGTGCAAATACTATATTTAAAATGTTTTGCTATCATCTTTTCTTTTCTTTTTTTTATTTATGCTTTGTATTTGTGTGGAAAGTACACTTTGTGAGTTTACATGATGTGTAGCACTGGTTGCTTTTGAGTTTTGTTTGTTTTGTTTGGTTGTTTTTTTAACGAAAGTTTTCTGCATGAAATAGGGGTGTGTGTACACATATGCACACACACTGTATATATGTATATTCATTTTCTGCTACCAGATTTTTCCTTTCCAAAAGAAGTTATGATTTTTAATTTTTGTGAAACAGTGTGCAAAGCTCCTTGATATACTTAATGTGCTTCTAAAGTCTCATAACAACCAAATCGTAGAGCCCATTGACCTAAAAATCATTGAACCAGAAGTGCCAGATTCTCATTTCAGATGCACGCATACAGATTCTATTAGAGGCCTCAATCATTGACCATTCAAGTCAATGGGAGTTTTGCCATTTAATTCAATGGAAGCAGGATCAGGCCCATAATGAATGGGAGATGTGTATATGCTTCCAACAGTGAAATTTGTCTGAGTTGTCGAGATGGTGTGTGAGCGTTCAGTCGCACAACCGCTTGTACTTTAATGTGGACACTATGAAAAGTTCTTCCTTTGTGCCTTTTAGAAAATTTACCCCAAATACTGTAGGATTTGATTTACAGTGACATATGCTACTTTTCCAATCACATCAGCACTAGTAGTTCAATACTATCATCTTCTTATCATCAGGTATAATGAAAAGCCAACCAGAAACACTTGCTTCATTTTAGTTTCATTATTTTCTAGCCATGCATACTATATTGGACTTCAAAAAGGCACACAAAAAAGTCATCCAAATGTGCATTTGCCAAAAAGCCCACAATGTGTCCCTATGAGCTCTCATTGCTTCCACCATTTGTCTGATTCAACTCCTGTTGAAGTCAATGGGAGTTGGACTGGGCCTTATTTGAGGAGAAATTAGCAGTGTAAGCAAACTTACAACATCTGTACAGTCATTTATTTAATGATGCAAAATAACCTTCTGATCACTCCAGCTTAATGCTAGTGCCATACAAAGCAAACAACCAAGTCCAAATTATTCAGTTGTGTATCATTTATATAGTGTGTACAGTTCTCCCTCACTTAGGACCTGATCCAAAGTCCACTGAAGTCAATAAAAGCCTGTTCATTGACTTCAGGGAGCTTTGAATTAGACTCTAAAAATAGACTTGTGGGGAAGGAGAGTTAATCATTTTGTCCTACTGAGCAATCTTTTTTGGATAAACATTCTCCTCTTATTAAGACTGATATGAAAAATTATATGTTGTCCTCTGCAAAGAAATGGTAGGAGCAAGGAGCACCTTGATATATTGGTGTAGCCAAAATTGAACGTTCTCTAAGTGAGGACTGCAATTTGCAGCCGAAACAGGGAGTTTATTTTTGGCACATCCCTGCGATAGTGCATAGTTTGTAAATAGCTGCCAACACATGTCTATGCATTAATATACATCACGAGGAGCATTCCCAAGAGGGCTATTGTTTGTTGTTACCATCCATATGAGTGCACAGAATATTGGCTTGTTTATAAGGCTGGTTCTCTAGTTTGGAACTCTACACATTTGTCAGTGCCTTTGCAAATGCTTGCTTATGTTTACGCTTGTCAGTTCCATTAACTGTTCCTTCAGCTATTTCGGGTTTTAATGTGCACACCTGTAGTGATTCTTAGCATGAGAAAAATTGTCAGTGACATATCTTCAGCTGGAGTTAATTGACATAGCTCCAGGATCTGGCCCATTGTTGTTGCAAATTCAAGTTTTCAGTGGTGACACAAAAGTCTTGGAAGAACCCAACTAGAATAACAATCTTCTGGGT